GGCCCTGCAATACATCGGCTATCAGCCCAGTCATAAACATGCTTCAGTCACTTTTGGGGTTGGCAGGTTGGGTACACGAAAGCAAACTAGTTGCGGAGTACCTTACCCTGTCTTTCCCTTCTGCATGTGAAGTTGTCATGAGAGAATGGTAGACAGACCCCACATTCCACAGCCATCGAATTGTCTAATACCTACTCCTTTTTGTCTTGGCTAAATTTCAACACAATCTCCATTACGAGACTCGGAATCAACAAAGAGCAGAAAACAAAGGCAGAGAAACGACGTTCTGCCTAGTATCATCCCAGCCTATCTTTTCATCAGAGTACCATTGTTTCAGACCATCAGCGCTCAGATGCAAATCCAGACGTACTTCGCCCTAAAAAAATATACTCATTGTAAATAGTTCGTTGAAGAATCAAATGACAGCCGTCATCGTCGTGGATCATCTCATCTACAACAAAAGAGAATACAGCACAAAGGTTCCCCCGGTATGGAGAGGCCCTGGCCAGAATGCAAGATACCACCAGTGACTCCGTCAACCACCAGGCCATGCAGGATGCGCCGTATGAATCGCCCAGTTCCGAGCCATATAACCACCATATCAAGGCTGAGCGAGAGGCGGCTCCGTTCAGCATCCCGATTACTGGTCCTCTTCTGGAGACTTGCTGCTCGCCCGCCCGTGGGCCTCGGCAACCCTTCGGCCGACACTCTCACCGCTCCAGTAAGCTCCCGTCGCCGTCCCTAGCGCCACGAACGGCGCCGTGTGTTCGCCCGCCAGCCACAGACCGCCTTCCGGTACGCCTTCCCGCATCGCTTCAATGTCCTTGTCACCCTCCAACAGTCCGGTTGGGAAGTTGCTGTAGCTGCCGTTGCCCGCCAGATCGTCTCGCAGCCAGTCCGTCGACAGACTTCCCGTCGGCTTACAGTCGGGCGAATTCTCGTCGTAATGTGGCAAGCGGGAATAGTAAGGCTTGAAGAAGTCGTACAAAAAATAGTTTCTCTCCGGTATCGTCTTCAGCCTCGACACGCCTTCGGTAATGTACTTGGACTCGTCTCCAAAAATGTAGAACAAGAGCGTCGGGTGCGAGTGCTCGCCCATCGAGGCAAGATCAACAATCTCCTGGTTCCATCTCTTTGGGTTCGTCTCTTGAGCATATGTCGGCGCAAGCCATTGGCAGAAGCCCTGCACCACGCGGCCCTCTGCGTCGGGCTCGAGCCAAAACGCTTTGGGAAAGCTGATGTATACCTTCTCCAGGCATCCATATCCGATGGCTTGGATTCCACGTTCGACTCTCTCAGGTAACGGTGGTTCGAATGCTTGAAGATTCTTCTTCAGCCAGCCCAGGGGTGTCGTCATGACGACATCGTCAAACTCCAAAACCTCGCCGGTATTGGTGTGAACTCTCGGTTTTGGACGTTCCGGGGTTTTGAGCTCCACCTTGGTAACGATAGTATCGTACTTGACATCGGCATTGTGCCTGACGGGCTCTGCAACTCGCTCAAAGATCTTTTCGTATGTACCAGCGCAGAACAAGTTTTCTTGCACAAGTCAGCCATAAGTCTGCAGGACTCCAAATTTGAAAATTCTCACCTCCATCTATGCATTCCTCGAGCCAAAAGAATTTGAGACTTTGGGTTGTAATTGGACTGCCAGAAAAAGCACCCCAGAGCTCTGCAATCTGGAGAACGGTTTTTCGCTTTTCAGCAAAGCTCTCCTCGGTATCGGGAATTTTCTCAACCACCCTTTCCTGGAAGAAGTCCCAGAGACTTTCATCGGGGGGTATAGTGGCCGTGTTCTTGTTGGAGTGTTGGAAGGCGTCCTGAACAATGTCCCACATCAAACTGGAGTAAATTTCGCTCTCGTCCAGTTTAAACAGGTTTCCCGAATCATCAAACACATACGACCGGTGATCCCAGCTTCCCACGGCCGTTCCCGTCTCTTTGGCCAGATCATTGATGGGATTGTCGTCTGTGCCATGGATCCAGTTCGGACCAAGGTCTACAGTATGGCCGTTGGGTAGTGTCTCCTGGAACATACGTCCGCCAAGTCGCTCTCGGCCTTCAATAATGGTCACCAGCAGGCCATGTTGGTTTAAGATATCAGCGCAGCGCAGACCGGCGAGGCCAGCACCGATAACAGCAATATGGGGTCTTGGACCCGACTCTGACTGTTTGCGCTGTGACGTGTCAGGAGGAAATTGCCTTGACGAACATTGACATGCAACTTTCGTATTGTACACTGAAACGTGTATACTATCAAAGGTACGGTCGTGGTAAGAATCGGACGGGTTCGCCCATCCCATCAAAAGAGACAGTCGGTGTTCCCGGCCCGATGCGTCCCACTAACGGCGATGGGCACGTGTTTGACAGGAAGCAGCAGACTTACCCGCAGAAGTGAGTCCATGGTCAGCGATCTAAGCAACAACTTGTCTTGTCCGGACCCAAAAAGGTTCTGGGCTCGGCAGGACTCTAAATCCTGGTAAATGCGGGATGTACTCCGGTTGGCAGGGCTGGTGTAAGAGACTGAGTAAGCGTCCATGGCGGCAAGTATTCGAGGAAATGCAATAAAAGAGAGTGAGGGTATTGTGGCGGTATTTGACAATCTGGTCGCCAAAGTTGATTAATGGGGGAGAGCGCGGGCGAACTATGCCGCAACACTGCTGGTTGGGTGCTGATCCACAGTAGAAACAAGCAAAGTCACAGGATATGAGCCCGCGTCTGGTTTTGTGAGAACCCCAGACTGAGTGAGACAGAGAAAAGGAGCTATCGCGATCTTGAGGGCAGGAAGAAAAGGTCAGGCGGAAGAGGCAACAGAAGTAGTGTGGGGATAAGAAGGGAGGGGAGGAACGTGGTGAAATGTCTAGCTCGCAGCAGCTAAGGCGTTCTGGTCAGGATCCAGGGTGGTAGAGTCGATATATAACAGGACCCGTGGATCTGGGTGCAGCGGCCGGGAAGGTTAAGCGCGAGGAGAGTCCAGATAAGGTATGGTGAAGGTAACAACAGGCTCCCCATGTAGGTTGTAGGTTGATGACGGGAGTGCCTTTGATTGAGCCAAGGTGTGCGCCATGCAGTAGTACCGATCGGAGGTGAGAGTGATACCTTGCGTGGCCGAACAGGTTCATGAAAGACATGAAGGCGCATCGGACGAAGAAGGTGGCGGAGGAAAGAAGAGACTGGGGACATTGGATGTTTGCCATTCCAGAATCTGCAGCTTGCCAAAAACCACTTTAATCTTCTTTCTTCCGACAAAGGTCGTCATGCAGATGCTGTACAACCCACAGCAAGTCCCAACTACACCTCCATTTCACTTCCCCCCTCTTAAGGCAATGGCAATGACAAGTAAGTACTCGGGACTGTCGCCGACTAGGCTCGCGTAGAAGCGGTGCAACAGATGGTTCGAACAAGTAGCTGGGGGTAGATGCCGTTGTACTCCGACAGGACGCTTATGTGCATTTTGGCTCAACTTGTCATTAAGCCACCAGCACGTGGAACGCCATCACGCTTGCCCACCACTGGTTCAGCGGCGCCATTACTCTCGAGGCTTTCCGCGGGGAAGAGTTGACGGTTGGCTGTGCTAGGTAGGTACACCATTGGGAGGCGACGTTGGGTATTTTCGTGTTTGTGTAACGGGGAAATGAGGGGCGGCAAAGAGAGAACTAAGAATCGAAATGAGGAAATTGAGAGGCAGAGGGCAGTGAGAATAAGATAATAAGGAGAATATCGGCGTCGACGGTGAGAACGTAGAACTTACAATGCAATACGCGATCGGGCGGGGGAGACAGCACGCGCGCTAAGCCTCGATATCATCCGGGATCATGAAGGAAAGAGGCAGAGAAGAACGAGGGACGAGGGCGTGGGCGTAGGCGTAGGCGTAAAAGAAGCCGCAGACGCAGATGCAGACGAGAAACGTCCAAGGGAGGACGGGAGAGAGAAAGAGGCCCGGATGAGAAAATGGGAGAAAGTTGAGGTTGCTGGTTTGGTTCCAGTTTGGATTTTCGGTGAGCTGCAGCTCCCGTCATGAAATTTTTGGCAGTGAACCTGGGCGTTCAGGGTCTTTCTTGCTGGGTCAGATCCCAGTTGCCAGGAAAGGGCGGGATCGGATAATGAAAGTTGTACTGGTGTGCGGTGGAACTGGAAATGGTGGAACCTCGTGGGAAGCCCGTCAGGTAAGGTAGACGGCGCAAAAGTGTTCCGTCGTGAGAATGAGGTGCTACTTGGCTACCTACCTCTGTCTGAGGTAACCGTACATCTGGACAGGGAAGGACTACCTACCTAAAGGTACCTCAGATATTACCCTACTTTACTCTCCGTGCCTTCCTCAGACAACCCCAACAGAGAATGACAGAAACGGCTGAGAATGAAGGAAAGTGTGGACGAAAAGGAACGAGGGGCACTTTCTCTCTGGGACCGGTGACACTTCACTGCTCCTTCTCCACCGACAGCGTCATTCCTCCACCTTAATCTCCATCCAACGCTCTCCGCTCCTTTTTTTTTTTTTTTTTTTTTTTCCTTTACTGCGAGAGAAGTACCCTTCCACACTTCCATGCTCTCCCCTTCCACCTTGTCACCACCACATCCCTCTCCGCCGCCTACCTGAACCTCTCCTCGACTGACACACGTCCTGTTATGCCCACCCTGTCACGATGCCGGCCAACTGACTCGATGCTCTGCCAGGAAACGCACTGAAACTGCAAATAAGAGGAGCCGACGATACCCTCAAGCTTTCTGACCTACCTTGACAGCAAACAAAATGCCAAGTGCCAGCATCCAACTTGCTGCATCTTTTCCTCAAAGGAGCCACACCTGATGCTGATAGGCCCTTTTACACGCCCAATCGGGCCTTGCTGACCGCGACTAGGACACACTACCGCCGATCATGCCATCTTTCTAGAATCCCGTCTATTACTCCGTATCCTCTAGTTCTTCGGAGTGCGGACTACGGAGTACCAATTTCCCTTCCCACTTGCCGGGCTTGATCAGACAGAGCCTCCAAGGTCACGATGCCTCCGCCATCATCACTCGTCCTCATTTTCCTTCTACTAGTGCACATCGGTGCTGGCCAGTCGCAGGATGACAGCCAGCCAATCCAGCCACCACCATCCGCAGACGCCTCAGAGAATCACCTGTCATGGCAATCTGCCTTTTGGGCTCTCCTCGCCCTTGTCCTCAATACCGCAACCCAACCGTGCGGGAAGATCTGCGGGTTCCCCTCGGAATGGGGCTTTTGCCTCAGGTGGTCGCCAGTTGTCTGCGTCATTAACTCGCTCGAAGCCCTCAGCTGCCTTCGCCTCCACCACCACTCTAAACGGACTCTGGTTGTCGCACCACACAAATACAACACAGAAATAGATATCTCACACAGTGACGTGGCCAACTTGCAGCGCAACACCTTGATCCGTATTGTCGCCTTCATCTTGGGACCTCTATTGCAAGCGACCAAGTTGTACGCATGTCAGGGCACCTTCTGGGTTCAATTTCTAGCATCCATCTACCTCACCAGTTTCCTCTGCGATGAGTTGGTGCTCGGCCTCATATGGATAGCCGGACCCGCGGAGGGCCGGAACAGGGTGATCGGGCTGGTCGAAGCCGTGGCGGGGAGTCGCCTCCGCCCTCCGGTCCACTTCCCGCTCCTCAGACTTGAAAGCGATGCGGCTATGGACGAGGACGACCAACTTCGAGACAGCCGCACAACTTTGAGACAAGCTCTGGCCATTATCGCCTCTCACTTGCTGCTAGGATGGTTTTTGGTCGAAACTATTACCGGAGCATATATGACGCACTTTCATGCCGTTATATTTAGCATGCTCGGAACGGCTTTTCTTGGCAGCATCGTGTCAGGTATCTTTTGCGGCTTGCGTTCCTACAAGAAGCATCAAAAGATGCCGCAAGTCTTTTTGGACGTCCTGTATGGCGTTGGCAACGTCATATGGCCAACTGGACTTGTGCTTGCCATTGGAGAAAAGTGCCAGGGGCTGGCAGTGATACAGGCCAACGGTATCATAGACTTCAACGCCAAAGGTTCTGGCAGCCAATGGGCCTGGAAAATCGGAATGGTCCTGTGGACTCTGGAGATATCCCGATGGGCCCGATTGCACCTCACAACTAGCAATCGATACGGGATCCCAAAGCCCGTGGACGTCATTCTTCCACTCTGGGCGAGTGCGCATATTGTGGTTGCACTGGCCATGTTTAACTTTGCGTATGATCCGAGTCGTACTTACAAACCGGCTTGGACCGATGTGCTGGGATGAGATCACGCCATGAAGAGCCAGGGACCAGCCAAGTAGGAGAAAGCGGGCTTACTCGTGTCTACTGTACACAAGCAGGAAAGCAGATGTTCACAAAGGATATATTCGCCTACCTACGACAGTCCGATGTTCGTCAAGGTTATTCGCATGGTCTGATGTCAAGGTCAGCGTAATGTTCGCCGTCTGATCACTGAAGACACTGGGAGCTCAGGGGCTGACCTCTCCAAGCTACGAGCTGCAACATACACGTTCTTGATCAATTGTTCTGGAAGGTTGCATTATCGACAACGTAAACCCATGAGGCCACCGGAGCCTCATGGCTTATGGTTGAGCCGCTACGTGTGAGCAGACTCGGCCGAATTCTTGTTTACTGAAAGGGGACCTCCAAACTCGGAATCTCATTATTGACTTGAGGGATGCAACTGTACGGGGGAGACGGCCCCTCTGCGGGGTAAAAGCTTCCCGCCTTTGTGGGGAGCATCAACAGGGGGCTCTGTCGCGTCGCGCAGCCTCTCAGACGTCTCAACCAGCGATCATATCTACTTTGGAGCAAAGTTTCGCAGCAGGATTTCCCTCGAATTCCCGTCAAATAACAAAAGTCAATTTCTATCCAGGGTCTTTGTGGTTTCACTGGACTTTGGAGTGATTAATCAACAAAGGCCGCGGTAGACTCCGAAGTGCAAACACAAAGCTTCTAGTCCCTCGATTTGCCCCAGCTGCCGCCCCCCGGCCAGGCTAAACATGGCATCCCCCAGACGCCGTCTCATTCCCCAGCCTCCCGCCATCCAATCACAGCTCCGCCGAATATCAGCACGAACCCGGAAGGTCGCCCACGCTCCACAAGAGCCGAGGCTCGCGGCACGATTTCCAGACATGGCTGGACGCCGTCCATTCCCCCTAGACCCCCAGACCGATGTCAACCGATAGACGCACTGCCTCCTCAACTAGAATGACCTGACCGCCGGCGCGACCTGCCCGAACTCTCTCTTTATCCTCGTGAACCCGCCCTCTGAAGAGCCAACTTCAACTTCTCCTCCTACCTCGACGGATATCCCATCTCCCGTAGACGAATCGAGCCTCCAATTCGACTGCTAAACCCCGCCGTCAGCTTGTCCCTTCGATTCTTCCTCATTAGTCCGAATAATAAAGGTGTCCAAGCACAACTCCAACCTGCCCACCATGGCCGCAAAGACGTTCTCTCGCGACGAGGTCGCAAAGAACAACACGGAGGACTCCCTCTGGTGCATCATCGACTCCAAGGTCTACGACCTGACCGACTTCGCCATGGGTCACCCCGGTGGCGAGGCCGTCCTCCGTCAGGTCGCAGGCCAGGACGCCACAACCCAGTTCTACAACCTCCACCGTCAGGATGTCCTCACAAAGTACGACAAGACCCTCGTAATCGGCACCGTCGAGGGCGAGAAGCCCCAAGTCGTCGTCACTGGCCCCGGCGAGCTGTCCCCGGTGCCGTACGCTGAGCCTACCTGGCTCACGCCGCAGTTCAAGTCCCCCTACTTCAACGACTCGCACCGTTCCCTGCAAAAGGCTATTCGCAAGTTCACCGACGAGCACATCACCCCCGTGGCTCTTGAATGCGAGGAGAAGGGCGAAGTCATTCCCCAGGAGCTCATTGATAAGATGTCCAAGGCGGGAGTGCTACACATGCGCCTCGGGCCCGGCAAGCACCTGCATGGCGTAGAGCTTTTGGGCGGCGCCGTTAAGGGCGAGGAGTTTGATTACTTCCACGACATGATTCTTAGCCAGGAGATGGCCCGGACCAACTGCCGTGGTTTCCAGGATGGTATGCTCGCGGGTATGACGATTGGCCTGCCTGTTGTTCTCAACTTTGCCAACTCCGAGTCGCTGCGCAAGCGCGTTGCGGATTCGGTTTTCAGCGGCAAAGACAAGATTTGCTTGGCCATTACCGAAGCATTTGCGGGAAGTGATGTTGCAGGTATTAGAACCACTGCGGAAAAGACACCTGACGGAAAACATTATGTGAGTCTACCAAATTTTTTGTTCCCGTCCTTTTTGATCACAACCACAACTACGACTCCGCGCAACCATCACAACTCCCTCAACCACAACCACAACAACACCACCACAACACAAGTTGATCAATAACTAATTAAATCATCAAATAGATCGTCAATGGAACCAAAAAGTGGATAACGAACGCTACGTACTGTTCGTTTTTTGTTGTTGGCGTGAAGACAGACAAGGGCCTCAGTGTCCTCCTTATAGAGAGAGGCGAAGGGGTTGAGACCAGGCCTATCAAGACATCCTACTCTCCAGCCGCAGGAACGGGTTTCGTCACCTTTGATAACGTCAAGGTTCCAGCAGAGAACTTGCTGGGCCAGGAGAACAAGGGTATTCACGTCATCCTGAGCAACTTCAACCACGAGCGGTGGACCATGGCTTGTAAGTCTTCATCTCTAGGCGTTGTGTCTGTTCGACTCGAATAGCGCTGACTGGGATTCAACTAGGTGCCACAATCCGTCAATGCAGAGCCGTTGTCGAAGAGTGTCTCCTCTGGGCAAACCAGCGTCTCGTCTTCGGCAAGCGTCTCATTGACCAACCCGTCATCCGCCTCAAGTAAGCACCCCGCCAACCCTCTACCCTTACCCCTGAACTTCCACTTACACATACACAAAATAGGCTCGCAAAGATGATTGCCCTCACAGAGTCCCACCAATCTTGGCTCGAGACGATCACCTACCAGATGAACTCGATGCCCTACAAGGAACAAGCAAAGCACCTCGGCGGACCCATCGGCCTCCTCAAGATGAGCGCCACCCGCGCCGCGCACGAGATCGCCGACGAGTCAGTCCAGATCTGGGGCGGCCGCGGCCTCACGCGGACGGGCATGGGCCGCGTGATTGAGATGTTTAACCGCACGTACAAGTTTGATGCCATCCTCGGTGGCGCGGAGGAGGTGTTGGGTGACTTGGGAGTCAGGCAGGCTATGAAGTTCATGCCCAAGTCGAGGTTATAAGGGGAGTCTCTTGGGGCGCGGATGAACAGGACCGGTTTTATGTGCCGGGTTATTTGTTGCTGTGAGAATAAGCTACACTTCACTACACTACACCGGGATGCCGCTCTCGTGACGGACACGGGATGAAGAACCGGGGCTTATTTGTCAGCTATATATCTGTACTGTAAAAGGAATCAATCTGGAATACTTCCACGCAAAACCTTTTCTTGGACGAAGTTCAGAAGTACATTGGATGATCGCCTACCTCTAACCCCCCCCCCCCCAAATTCCTAACGAAGTCCCGGCCAACCTTTTGACCTGAACCTGCTTTCCCCAATCCACCCTCACTGCCACTCGTAAGTTTGGACAGAGTTGGACATACACCGGGAACAAGACGAGACGACCCATGTGCTTTGCTTTGCTCAATGGCAAAACAAAAAGGCAGTTGGGCAATAGGGTTTCGTTTCGAACGGGGGGGCTTTGCTTTGTACTTTTCCGAGGGGCATTTGACCAAGGTAAGTATTGTATATCTCAGCCCAAGGTACTTGAATTCCCTCCCAAAAGGCCAAATACACTATGTTGGACATCTGGATATACATTCATACAAGACACGACGGAGACAACTTTTAGTACAGCATGATGTTCAAGATTTCCAAGTCATCAACCTTTTAACCCTCATACAAGGCCACACATACAAGGCCACACCTACTGGGGATTCATTACCCACGACACCACAAGCACGGATGGTGAACCAAACGCGGACAACCAAGGTTTGCACCAGGCGAGTCTGACAACGGGGAGACTTTCCAGTGTTGGGACGACGCGCTTACCCCCAAGTTTCAGAAACAACTGTCTTTTTATGTTTGGGACGGACTTTTGGCCGTGGTCGTCAACGTTCACGTCGCATTAGTACGCCGGGCAGAAGAGGTACTTCTGGTTGCGACTGCAGCCCTCCCTTGACTTGAGTGCGCCGGGTAGGAAAATGACGTCTGCCCATGATAGTAGCCGGAATATTGCAGCAAGACGACACACATCACGGACACTGTAACGAACACTGGACCAGAGCACAACAAAGAGGTTACGACGCAAACTTTCCATTCCCTGCCCTGAACGACAGCCATGACCGCTTAGAACGGCCCACACTGCCCAGGTCGCCGTTACTTTTGAGAGTCCATTTCTTATCCCAGACTGCTCAGATGCAACGAAGACCAAGTCTATCAGAGGTCGAAAGCTATTCCGGCCCACAAAAAAGAGGCCCTCCCACTCTGCCTGCTGACTCTCCCCCTCCCGATTTCTTTTCCATAAAAAGAAAACCCGGAGAAGAGGTCAGCGCAAAAGCTTGTGTCTCCCTATTGCGTTGCTGTGCCATCGTCATCCAAACGATCCGAACCAAACCCCGCATTTTGCCGAGGTTGTAGCGGACCCAATGCGAAAGGTGTATCTTGGTGCGTTAAGAAAAAGCCGTGATTCATATGCCGTTGTCCGTGTAAAACTTTTCCGCGGGCCGAGTCCCAGAGTTGTTTGCCGTGAGAACATGAGAGCAAGGAAGAAAAGACGAAAAAAAGACGAGGGTGAAAAAGGAAATGTACAAAGCATCCGCAATGCCTAGTTGATATCGCAAAAGTGAGCCACGGTGGCCTCGAAGCCTTCGAACCGTTTCGAAACCGAGTCTGCCACGGAGGCAGACAACTCATCGCCGATAGTCATCGCAGACTTAGTTGTTGGGGCACTGGGACTGGACGTGTCCGGGCTGCTGGCACTTGTAGCAGATCTTCTCGCCGCCAGAAGACTCCTTAGGGCAATCGCGGGAGAAGTGGCCGTTCTCGCCGCAGTTGTAGCACTTGGAGCCGTTGGTGCAGTCGCCTTCATGGTATGTCAGCACGGTCAAGTTGGCGAGCTGGAAATCATCTCGGGTACTCACGAGACATGTGGCCGTAGCCACCGCAAGAGTAGCAGGTCTTCTGGCTGGCACCGCCGTAGCCACCACCGCCGGAGTAACCACCACCGTAGCCGCCACCGTAGCCACCGCCGGCCTTGGGGCAGTTGCGGGCAATGTGACCAACCTCACCGCACTGTCATATCGTGTTAGTACTGGCATTCGTCGCGTTCAAGACAAGGCGAAGCGAACCTTGTAGCACTCGGAGCTGGAGGGGCCACCACCACCAACGTTGCCGCCCTGGGGGCAGTCACGGCTGATGTGGCCAGCCTGGCCGCAGCGGTAGCAGGACTTGGTGTCCTTGGGGCCCTCGGGGCAGTCACGGCCTTGAAGGATGTTAGTCAACAATCAATCTCATGAACAACTCGAAAAGGACTTACTCATGTGACCCTCGTCTAAAGCGAACGTCAATCAGTCATCTCGTCGGTAACACACAGATACATCAAAACTCACTGCCGCAGTTGTAGCTATGTCAAAGTCAGTATGAAGCAAGTCAGGCAAATAAGATCAGATCAACGTACCACTTGGCGGCGCCACGGTTAGGGCACTCGCGGGCCTAGAAAGAGTCAGTAAGTCGAGAGCTAGGCATCGCATCACCCTCCAGTAAGTCGTACCTGGTGACCAGCAGCACCGCCTAAATATCTCTGGTCAGACTCTTGCGCTCATGGATTGTAACGACGTTTGGGGGAAAAGGCATGATCAAGGTGTCACTGGCACACCGGCTCAGAGTCAGTAAGACGACGCAGTAAGGGCATACACGCGGCTTCTTGAACAGATCTGGTCCAGAGATGCGAAGCTGGCGAAGCATTTACACCAATGTGAATGCTTAGCCGAGCCTCTTTCCAAGTGATAATTCCAGCTTCATGCTGAGAAGACCCCACCAAACACCAACTTGAAAGTCATGTAGTTGCTTGATAGAGCTCTCGGCGCCCGCTTTTTCCAACAACCTCGAGATCCAGTGGACATATGATCATATGAACTCGGAGATAAGGGGTCCAGAGGTAAGCTGCACAAATGAAACAGCCACCAATGACGGGCTGAAAAAGTTCAGGGTGGAAGCGGTGAGACTCGGTGAACCAATGGCAACCAAATCTCGGATGAAGGTGCCAATTGATACCGAAAGCCACAAAGCCACCCACAGAAACAAAAGTGGAAAATTTGAAAAGCATGAAAAAGCAGCGCGTAGGTTGGAAAAAGTGGTGAGACGGGAGAAGCGCCGAAGCTGGGAAGGCTACTCACAGGTGAAGCAGGTGCGAGCCTGGGGGGCGCCGGCAGATCCCTGGAAATCCATTGCGATTGATATGGGGTTGGAAAAGAGTAGTAACGGTGGTGTTTAGAACTGGAAGAAAGGCGTTAGAATAACGGTAAGGTCGATGAGGTGATTTGAGATTGTCGAGGGGAGGAATTGAGCCAAGCTTTTCGTGTGAGAAGGGGAAAAGATCTGGGAGGCGAAAGACGGTTTGTCGCAATGTGGTTGACGTGGGGAGGGGCAAGTGGCATGTGTGCTTATGTGTGTGCGTGTTGTGTTGTGTGTGTGCGGTGCGCGATGTGGGGAAGTTGGAGATGGAGGTGCGTGTGTGCGCCGCCTTCGTCAGATACAAGAGGTGAATTTGTGGTTGGCAGCTGGCAAGCTCTGGAGGGTTTTTTGTTGATGTCGATGACGGGATCCCAGCCGAGTTGAGTAATATCCCGTATTGGTGAAAGGAGGGGCTCTCTGTCTCTCTCCTCCCCGCGGATAACTGTCAGGAAAAGGGCTATACTCACGTATGAAGGGCGGATAATCGAGCCGTGATCAAAAATCTCTGCTCGAAAGAAAAAAAAGGAGGGGTGTTTTTTTTCGTAGTGGTTTTGCAAGGTTTGCGGTGGGTGGTGGTGGTTTTGTGTTGTGGGAGAGAAGGGGAGGGAAGCGGTTGTTGCGGCCAGGGAGTGGCCAAGGTTAAAAAAGAAAAGGCAGCGAATTTAGATTGTCAGACCGCCTTGTGGAGCCCAAGAAAATCTGGTAGATGGGCAGGCGCAGGAGCACCAATCAGATAGGCAAGTCCCTTCTCATAAGGGGAAGAGCCCGTCTCTAGACTCTGGATGCCCCCTTCTGGCCTTGCCTTGGGCTATTCTGGCTTGGACGGGGCAGGCGGCATTTGTGTTTGATTGCAACTTGGTGACGGGAGTGCCCATGAAAGATGAGTGTGTGTGTGTGACGGAGATTGACACGGTTGGCTAACCTCACCTCACCTCACTTGAACTCTCTCAGTACACTCACTCACTTGCCGTAATAAGGTGCTATCCAGCTGATGAACGCCCTTGATGTTGTCAAATTTATCGTTATAAATATGACAGGCTTACTTCTCAGTCTTACAACAGGTACATCTAAACCATTGCTAGTCCGATATGGATATGGCATAGGCACTTGCCTCACGTTTGTCGAGTACTCCAATAAGATGCCTGTTCATCTCCCATTCCCCTCACACCTATCTATGACCGTGGCTGGCCTACCTTGCCTCATAGGTATGCCCGTGCCTAGCTACAGCCGACAGCTCTTATAACCTAGCCATCAATGCCCGAAATGCACCAGCGTCTTTTCCCCATAGCCGAAGATGAGACTGTGCTGTCTGTCAGCTTCAGATAGGTAGAGGTAGGGCACAATGACACAGTTGGAACACCTTGGGCAGAATCAGGCCAGCCAAAAGGGGCGGCAGCTAGTTTGCCTCACAAATGGAGCGTCGGGAAGCAACCCGGACTGGGCTTGCCATTAAGGGCTACTACGGTCATGGTCATGTTCATACCACATTACGTAGGTATACAGAATTCCCTGGAGACCTGGGTGCCCCCTCCATGACGAAGAAGGTTCAAAAAGTTGAGATGAAGACACTTGAAGCTCGGGTTTCTGATAGCCTAAAGAACCTTCCAATAAGGCCGGACAGGACGGGACACCAAACTTTAACATTTCTGATGGGGGGAGGAACGGAGAAGCAGCCGTCGGGGGCAATGGAAGTGCTTCGTTTGAGCCCTTCTCTTCGTAAACTCCAGGGACGGTGAACTCAAAGGCAGGTGACTCTACCAATTCAAATTTCACATCGTCGATGCTCTAGACCGGGTTGGTCACGGTGAAAGTAAAGTGTTTTTTTCTTTCACTTGAGTCGATCGAATGAGGTGAACTGCCAGAGACTAGAGTTGCTCATGAGACCCCCTCCTCCCCACCATCCGGTCGCTGTCCTCGCGCAGTCCGTATTTCACTTTTGCCCCTCCATTTTTTTCGACACTTTTTTTTTTCTGCCATGGGGAAAACAAAAATACCAATCAGAAAATTCAGCATGTCGAAGGCAGGCAGGTGGGGTACCCCTGTGTAAGATTCTAAAAATCGCCGAGAGGCAGGTCAAATGGCAGCATTGGCAGGCCAAAATGGCAGGCCAGGCCCGGCCCCAAACTTACCCAAGGTCCCAAGGCACTGTGAAATGCGATGTCCCAAACCTCGCTAAACCCCTTCCATCCCTACGAGGGGTCGGAAATCCTTGATTTCGTGCCACTGTGCTCCCGTCCCTTGCATCTCTCCCTGTCCTGTCCTGAGCAGCCCCTCATCACACGCTCCTCTCATGCTCATGCTGCCCCTCTCAGTGGTCTCTCACTTATTACGCTCCCACCTCACCCGATGAGTGGGCTCTGATAAGTCTCCCGTTACAAGCCTCTGCCAGACTGCCACAGCTGCTGCCCCTCTCATGCAGCCTGTACGGATACTCTGCAAAGCCTGAGAATGAAAGAGGGGTGAATCTCGTACACTGCGGAATCGCGGATATACTGGCTCACACTGTGTCGTCAATCTGGCAAGGTGAGCCTTGATTGCGCTTGAGTAAGAGGTGGTCGCTGGTGAGCTTTGTCTCTAGCAGCCGTCGGGCGTCCTGGGCAGCAGGCTCTGGTTGTCCATGTAATGTCTGAATAATCAACCTGAGGTTGCACCGTACGCGCGCTCTTTGCATGCCCACAATCCGCGTATTGTTAACCCTGTGTTGGGAATTCTCGGCTACATATGCCTCAGTTTCGTACCCCGCGATCCCGGCCTGGCCACTCGCTGCTGTTGATGGTCGTGCGTCCGTGGGATGACACATGCCTCACTGTGGTCCCTTCGCACTGCTTGTGTCGGTGGGTGTGTGCTTGGTTCTAGCTCCAGCTCTGGCTTTAGCTTCGAGAAGCTCGTGAACCTGCTGCTGATCATTGGCGGAACACCGACGCTCGAGGATGCCTCCCAGAAAGCTTCCCGTGTCATGGTGTCTCGTTGTCACACTTTCATGCGACTCAAGAATCATCTGCCTTGGATGTCCAACCCGCCTGCTACCCAAGGGTACAGGCACAGAAGCTGATAAACAGCCCTGTCGGAGATGCCATCAAAGTAGGTTTAAACCGAACCGAGGCTTGGACGGCCCCTCCAGATCGACAGCGTCCCCCTCATCAAAAGGTAAACCCCATTCACGGAAAAGAGAAGACCAAATTGAACAAAAAGCCTTGATCATCGGCTCCGTCCTTTTCAACCTCCTTCTCGCCCCAAGCTCCTTTTCGTGATATCTCACTGGAGGAATAAACGCACAAATCCCACGAGTTTCATTCCACTTTCGAGTTTCGGAAACGCAATTAGCCATGCCATCCAGGCGAACCAGAGCAGAGGATTGGTTCGTTCCATCGAGATGCACTTCCGGTCCGGTCAGATCTGCCGCGTTCAATCTCGGCCAGTCTTCCCTTTCAGGTTGGTGGTAAGCTTTTCGCCCGGGCCTGCGAAATCATGTAGACCGGATGAACCCGGTCACCCATTTCAACCGACGGCCACTTCGCTTCGTACTTTGCTTCGCCGGCAACCCTTCCCTTATCCGCGACGCTTGCACAACTGCCAAGAAACTTGCCCTGGCCTACTGGTCTTCCACACGTCGTTCAATTCGATGGCTTTCGCCTGTGCCCGTTGTCGCCGCAATTGTTGGTTGGCAACGATATTCCATCGAATGTTCTCTCGCTTAGCCAGCCATTACGCAACAAACGCGCAACGAATTGGGTGCACTGTGCAACTAAACCCATGTCTGGTGCAGCTGCAAGCTAGGTATCGTTAACTGCGGTTTGTGTCCAACCGCTGCAACGCAGCAGACGGGCTTCCTCGCGGACCTCGTGGGCTCCAGGCGCATAGTCCGCAGGCCTGTCACCCGAGAAATGAAGCGGCGATGGTCGCGACCTGCCCGAAACAGCTTCATGGGCGGACGCCGGGAAAAGATGACGGCGCCATTGCATCTCTGCAAATGTGAAGTATTTTCGAATGCGACTTGTGTGGAGTCTCTACCGGACCACTGGCCTCTTCGAGGCCGCACCTGCGACCCAAGACGCTAGAACGGCATGTAACCACAAACCACCGCAGTAATATGCAGGAGAGCTCGTAAGTCATAGGGGCGGCGCGGAGACCAGCAATGGGGCCTGTTCATGGATACCGGCAATTGTCCGCTAGATTGTCTGCCACATATCTCTCGAGCGGAGATGTGGCATCGACAGACGTTGCGAGTCCCGCTGATTGCTGCAGCCAAACAGGCATCGGGTGCGAAAGATCTTGTGGGCTGCTGAGAGGTATTTGCGGCTTCTGTCAGCAGCGGAACACCGAGCACCTTCACCAGACCGTGCGGGGAGAGTCGCTGACCACGTGCGATATGCTTCTCAAAGCTTGGCTTTGCGTTCCTGCGTGTGGTGTCGAGAGCAATTCTGGGCCATCCTAAGCAAGTACAATGCGGCGGCCAGATTGAGCACCAGATATCCCCAAGCTCCCGCATCTGCTTTCAACAACAGACGGTGGTACTCCTGTCCTTGTCTGTGACAAGTCGGTTTCCTTTAAGTCAGGTATCGCAAACGTGGCGCTTTGCGGTCGTCAGATTGATCAATGATCCGGTGTTCCCGCGGGTATGCAAGGTCGAGGGGCGAGATATATGTGAAGCGCGGCATTGCCAATTCGAGCCTCAACCGAGCTCTTGCAGAGTCAGAGACAAGACAGCTTTGTGGTCGACGAATCAACCCATGTCGCAGCCTACCATGACGATCATTCGCTAGGGTCGGTGACCGTTGAAGAGCTGCCGGGCCGGACGACCGTAGGCCGTGGGGAACCTCGGGGGGCCCACTGACCAGAGCGTGTCTTCGATTTTATTAGCCTTGAAACGTTTGTAAGTAGATATATCGGAGTAGCCGTGCAGGCCCACCAGTATCCGTATCACGAGCCATTCCAGCCGTACCAATTGATCGAAGCCTCGAAGGCATGTTGCTCTGCATTTTCATCCTGCGCCCCGCCCAATGTCTTCTCACTGCGGAAGTGGCTCCGATGCAGTCAGTCTCCATTGCAAGGTTTGTGCAAGGAATCAGACCGCCGGCCTTCGTGCTTGGGTCACCCCGAAGTTGTAGTGGTACCGGGAGCTGCGAATCAATAAGGAGTAGAAAACAGGGCTTTTTCAACTCGCAAGAATTGCATGATAAGGTACAGTTCGGAATTGATATCCAAAAATCCTCGTCGAGGAAGTCTGCATAAGTTGAAGTTAGAAGCGAGCATGTTGCTATGAGGTGGCTGAAGCAAGAGCTCTGTAAGTTGAGAAGTGGCTCGCGAGGGACTCAGCCACAGCTGCACGGACTATTTTGTGGCGGGTAGATCGATCCCAAAATGTCTTGGCACGACGCGCTTCAGGGAAGGCGCGTCTTAGTTTGGCGTCCCACGCACCCACGTGAAACCCAGCTTCAACCTGACTGACACCCACACAACCCCAAGCAGGCTTCAAAGTGTCCCGGTATAGCTGCCGTCGTAAATCATGGAGAAGTGGTCGCCGGAAGGCCGGGCAGCTATCCAAGATGCCTTCGAAGCATTGCGTAAAACAGTTAGCAAGCAACTCGACAGCGGTATGTACACGTAGATGCCCTGATGTGATGACAATGCGATACTAGCTTCTCAACAGAGGTCGAGCAGAGGCTTAAGGAGAACGATCGATCACGCGCATTCCTCACAGATGAGCTCGAAATATTGAAGTCTCGGTCCGATGAGGTTGATCGCCTTGAGGAGGAAAATCGGAGGCTGAGGACGAAACTCCTCCAGATCCATCAGCAAAACCGCTCCGTCGAGTCATCTCGAGGAAGCCCTCGGCCGAGTTATGTCACCAGCGACCAAGCCACCAACACAGACCCCGCGTCTGCAGATGGTCCTGGGAATGGAGGCGACCTAGAGAACGTGCTGCGGGAAAGCCACAAGCTACGACGGAAATATACTGCCCTGGACCAGAACTTCAGGATCCTAAAAGCAGAGTTCAATAAGAGAAGGGACGAGAGGAAGGAGGAGATCAAGGAATGGGAAGACTATGCGACAGAATTGGAAACGAAGATCAAAACTCTGGAGCAACGTTATGGTGACGCTGATGCTCCGGCGTACACAGCAGAAGCCCTTGCAGAACAAAGTAGGCCGCGCGCCCACTTAGCTTCGAGGTTCACAATTGATCCTGAATCCGGGATCTTGACGACACCCAGCAACCTGCGGACTTTGCGACAATTTTCTGCCGAGATAGCTCCCGTGCAATCAGATGATGTCGAGACGCAGGATCTGCCCGCCGCAGATTCCACGGAGGGGGAGATGACAGAGGGCAGTAAGGATGCCGAGGCTG